AGGTAAATTTTGCTGTTGACTTTGATGGGAGCAGAGTCTGACATTTGTATTGTAGTTATGCATTTTTCTTTTTCACTCCAATCAAAATAGAAAAATGTACTCTATAAATCCTCAGACTCTTTTCTGTATCATACTGGATCTTGCAGATCACAGGTGACAAGCTTCATCCATGGTATGTTAGTGCATTTCTCTGTTATTTAATCTCTCTTGATTATGGCAAATGCAGCTCCCTTCATTAATCTGTTTGAAGAACTGTAGCAATTTGATCTTCTGCTTCTTCCAAAAAGCAATGACAATACCAATGCAAAACAAATTAACGTTTCAGAATTCTGAAACATTTGCCTTGTACAGGATGATGTTTTTGGAAAGTTAAAAACTCCACAAGTCATATATAATGAATGTAAGGAGAAAGCTGGAGTTTTTACTGCCCTCATTTTCACAGTCTTTTCATCAAATACAGGACTAGAAACACTGTTACTATATTTTTGTGTAATATTCAATATATTTCCATGGTTATAATCTTTCAAAGGAGCCTCTACACTGAACAATATACTTACTTTATAGTTCTGAAACACTTAGGCCTACCTCACTTAGAGTGCATATCAATTCAGATGGTTAAAAGTGATTAATTTTTCCTTATTTAAAAAGCAAAAAAGGCACAAAGCTATTTCTTATCCAATTTCTTGTCTATTTTACATACAAAAGTTGTGACCCATTTTATAAATGGATTCTGTGACTACTTTTAATTTGAAACCAACCTTTATGCCTCTGTGTAAGAGAAGCCCTTCAGAACAGGAGGAGACGACAGCTGTTTTAGAAATTAGTTGAAGGACAATACGAACCTTCTCATATATATTCTGGTCTCAATTTCTTACTTCACCATTTCATAATTATCCACTGCTACAAAGCTGGTTTGGAAATTTTGAGTGAGTTCCTCTGAGTATCCTAAACCCTAAGTCATATGAATGGAGGAAACACTGAGAAGGCTGAGATAAGTCACATGCCTATGTTTAGCAAAACAACTTGCAAGTAAAAACATCCCTTTTCCATCGACTGACTTCCAGCATATTTTACTTATAAAAACAGTTAAAACTTTTGAAAATTGTCTCCTAGGAATCAGTTCTCCTCCTTCATTGGAAGAATTAGGTATAGAGGTACATGCAGCACTGTAGATAAGGGCAGTGGTGGTGAAGCTGGTGTCAGTGACTGGTGTGTGTATTTGCATATGTTAATACGAAAAGTACCCCTGTTTAAGGATTGCAAACGAATACAGCAATCAATGGGGCTGTTTGTAGTTTCCTCTGGGATGCACAGGATCTCCCCAGCTGGAAAGCAGATAGAAAAGTACAAAAGCAATTATCTCCTTTTACAATATCCCTAATACCATATCGTCTCTGCCCATTTGCCATCCTGTGGGCACATGATTGTCAGTGGTTAGGAAACATGTAAGGCCTCCAGAGAAAGCAAAGGCAGAGCTTCTAGAAACTTCTCTGGAAGCATAATCAGGCCCACAGCCATTTACTAAGTATTTACATTTACAAAGCTGTTTTTTACGCAGGAATATGGTAACCCCCAGGTGCTCCCTTCAGGAAACCAACACACACTGAGAACTTCAAAATGGGTACTGAAGAGCAGCCTTTTGCACCCCTCCTCTTCCAGGAAAGAAATAAAGGAACAAAAGTTCTAATGCGTAAGTTAAACGTTAGTATTTTCAGAAGTTACCTCTTATTTCAGGGGTTTGTTTTTTTCACTAAGTTTTCGCACAGAGTACCAAATACTATCAACATAGCCGTGAAAAAAAATCAGGGTCTATATTAGTGAGTGGACTGTCTGAAAATATGACCAAAAAATTAATTCTTTAGTCTATGATTAGTTCCTATCCTCTAAGGGATATTTCTATATTGCTTATTTAGAAAGGATTCTAATACATGTACTTGTTCAGAAACACGCAAATATATTATGTATTTCCATTATGCTTATATAAATTCATGATTCTGTGATTGAGAAGAGGTTGGAAGCAACATTTAAATTAACATATTTTGAAAGTTTTAAAAGTGCAAAATCAACTGCCATAAATATTGCCATATATTTTATTTTTTAAAAATAACTATATTAAGAATCCATTAAACATGTTCAGTCTAATTTTTCAGCAGTATTTCAGTGGAACACATTGTTACATTATTTAATTGGTAAAACCCAAGCAAATATTTGGCAACTTTGTTTGACATTTTACAGACTAATTTATTTACAGTTGGCTGTAATATTTTGAACATTAGGCTTAAGAGAAAAAATAAGATCAGAGTGTTCGCCTAATCATTTAATGTACTGAAACATTTAGAGTTATAAAACAAACCCATGAAGTTGCTAGGTACTGCAAAAGGGGAAAGTTAATTAGCTATTAGTACTACAAAAGACGCTGTCTGATCTGAGGACACAGAATGATTAATTAGTTGCCTAATTGGATGATTTAAGGTCAAGTTTGTGTGCATTTCTAATTTAGAGCTGTAATTTACTATAATTTGGAAGAATGAAATGTATGTCCACTTTACAAAAGCACAACATGGAAATGATCAAAAACTTGTGCTACCTGTTTTTTTTTTATTGTTGTTGTGTCACTGCCAAACTAAAAATCACATTTCTGTCAGTAAACATTTAGGAACATTAGGATGGTAAAAATACCATCTTGAGAACTACTTTTTCTCTTCAGAAATTCAGATACACTGTTCCCTTTAATTAAATTTATTCTATTTTGCTCTACACGAAGAGCAAATAATACAAATATCTAAAGTTTGCATTACTAATAATGCTTGTGCATATTTGAACACCACTTCACTGTATAAGTTGTAGAGAGTAAAGCTAAAGTTTTGGCAACTGCAAATCATTTCAGCATATAAATAGTTCTATTTAAATGTACCTGATTTCACACACTTCATTAAATTAGACTTACTTGAAGCAGGTTATTTTGTTATTTGATAGAAACCAGTAGGTGTAGAGTATCTGGGATGGTAAGTACAACACATGTAAAATTAGGTTAAGAATTAACAAGAAAAGCATAGAGAACAAAATGGAAAACTTCATGAGAACATTGACTGTGTTCCACTTCTTTTCCTTTCTTCCACTCAAAGAGAAAGAGAATAGAGTTGGAAAAGGTATAACATGGATGATTGAAGACATAGAACATGTTTTGCACTAGGAATAGACCAGGATTCTTTTTAGCCTGAAGAGGATATGACAGAAGTCAGTGAAATCAAAAGAGACATGGAAAAAGAGACCAGGAGATGATTATTCCCGGTCTTTCCCAATACAAAATCTAGCTGACATCACATGAGCTTATGAGACTGAAAACAAACAAAAGGACTGCAGAAGTATTTCATTGCACAATAGGTGGTTGAATTATGGAATATACTGCCTGTGGACGGGACAGCTGCCAGAAGTACACAATATCAAAAAGTAACAGGGCAAACTGACAGATGAAAAACTGAGGGCTACTAAAACCAATGATAATACATCTGGCTATAGAAATGAAACCATAAATCCAACAAAAGAGGGTGGAAGTATGGCTTTACTGTAATCTTGACCAGACAGAACTTCTGGTATGAGCCAGTACAGCTAGTCTAGGTTATTAAAATTTTGTAACAATTTGGTCGGTACTTCAAAAGTCACCAAGTATGATGTTGAAGTTGCCAAAACATGATCAAACATAACAAACGGTAGCATATGTTGCCTTGTCATGACTTGTCATGAACCAGAAACGTTATATTGTAAAGATTTGCACTAGATAAGACTTTATTAATATTTTTTTAAATAGAAAAGATAAGAAAAATAATAATCTTGTCTTCAAAATGTGAGAGCTGGGTGGTTTGAACAAGACCATGAGGGAGACGGGAACGGGGAGCGGATTTTCGGGGGGTTTGCAGCAGCACGGAGGGGTTGGGGGGAGCGTTTGCAGCCCGGGTCTCCTCACCAGCACCGCCCAGCCCCTGGCACAGCCACCGCGGGGCCCTGCCCGCCCCAGCCCGGGCGCGGGGGAAGGCGCTGCCTCGGGCTCGCTGGTGGGAAAGAGAGGGCGGAGGTGGCTCGGCCGCACGGAGCAGTCGCGGTTTGTTCCCTGCCGGCTGCTGCCCGTGTTCTCAAGCCGAGCATCTTTCACCCGCTTCCACCAGCGCTGCCGGGTCCCCGCAGTTCCCTTCGCTCCCTCCCTTCCCTACCTGCGCGGACACGGCTCGGCGCGTCCCTGGAGGCGGGCGGTTGTCATGGCGACGGGCCGGCCATGATTGACGGCTCGGGTAGCCAATCAGCGCCCTGCTCTCCCAGCCCGCCCCCCGCAGGCGGAGCCGCAGGGGCGCGGCAGGCAAGAACTACCTGTCCCAGCATGCTGTGCGCGAGTAGACGCGCCGGCGGTAGGGTTCTGGGGCGCGGGGCATGATGGGGGCTGTAGGCGACAGCCGGCGGCGGCAGCTCCCTCTGCAGCCAAGCCGCCCACGGACCCCCGCCCCAATTTCTCCTCGGCATTATCTCCGGGCAAAGCTGGGGCCGTCTCCAGCTGGGATGTAGGATTATGTGATTCGATGCGATTTGTTAATATGAAGATTTGTATTCTGCATCTTTTGTATTTTTGATACATAGGAATAACTTAGTTTGCTTTGCTGCAATGTAAAACACGGGAGCCCCCGAGTATCTTCCTATCTGTGTGCAGCACACAGTGCTGGTTTCTGATGCCACTCCGAGGTCCATCCACCCTTCTCATGGTTGGTAGGGTTCCTTGCTGTCTTCTGCTTCAGTCTGTACAGCCAGAAATTTCCCTATGTTAAAATGCTTCTGTTCTCCCTGTTTTGGACTTGGCTTTATTTTACCTCCTCTTTTAGTACAGCTGCCCACAGGGGTACAAGCAGCACGAATTAAGCAGCTGAAGACTGGACACCGTTATCCTCTTGCCAGGCAACAATGCCAGAGGGATCATTTCCACAGTGCAGTGGGACTGGCCCAGACCCAGGGCAGGAGACCTTTGAAGTCGAGTTAATAACTTTAATAGCTTAATTGTGTATAAGTGGAATGACTTAGGCATGTCAGCCATTCCACTCAGTTCTCTGTACTGCTAGCTGCCCTTCATAACTACGGTTCTGTGACCTGAAATGGTTTTTATTCGTTTATTTTGTTTTGGTTTGGTTTTTTTATGATGGGTGGGACACGGCTATTTATAACATAAACATTAACTTTATTTCCCCTGGTGCAGAAGCCTAGGTCAATAAATCCGGAGTCGGCACTACCATCCTATAGAGAAAGCGTGTGTTATAGCGCGGAGAGCCGCCCGTCACGTGCGGCAGGAGGGAGATGCGCAGCCGAAGGTGACAGACGCCGCGTGTGCCGGTGTGCACAGCACAGCGCAGCCCCGCACAGCCCGGTACAGCCCCGCACAGCCCCGCACAGAGGCTGGGGCGGGCTGGCGGAGGCCGCGGCCCCTCTGCCCATCCAAGCGGAGCCGCGCCGGCCGGGAGGGTGCGGGCACCGGGCTGCGGACACCGCGCTCACGGTCCCAGCGCGGCGGCAGCACCCCCGGGGCTCGGGTGGCAGGTACGGCTGGAGCCTTGAACAGGGTGGGGCGTGAGGGGGTGCGCTCTCGGCCCCCAGCTTTTGGGTTTGGGGTGCCACGGTACATGGGCGCCGAGCCCGGGAAGGGCAGAGGCTGCCGCGCTCCGACCTGGCCCGCCGTGGGGATGCGGGCGATGCCGGGGAAGCAGCGGCGGCTCCGCATCCGTCCCCTGCACCACCCGCAAGGCTGCGGCAGCCGGGCTGAGAGCGGTGTGCTGGGAGCGGTGTGCTGGGAGCCGCCTGCAGCGGCCGGGATGGGAGGGGAAGGGGAAGGGGAAGGGGAAGGGGAAGGGGAAGGGGAAGGGGAAGGTCCCGGCGGGGTGACAGCCCCGGCTGTGACCACCCCGGCTGCGGAGCCCCTGGCGCGGGTTGTGGGGGAGCTGTGCCTGTGTGGAACGGCGCCTCCACCACACTGTGAAGGCCAGAAGCGGGTTTAGTTTTTTCCAGTTTGGTTTTTGTTTGTTTGTTTGTTTATTTGTTTGTTTGAAATCCAGCACAGGACTATTGCAGTATCAGAACAGGGGTTAACTTTAGGAATGCTGGATCAGCTGTGAGAAAGATGAGTGGAATACAATACAGCATACTGTATTGTATCCCGCAGGACAATGAAGATCTGCTAAAACAGTAGCTGAACTTTTTTAAGCCACTGTATGGGCCTGTTCTTAGTGTTAAACTGCTGATTGAAAACTCCTCTTGCCTTCTGTGACAGCTGGAGAAATTGAAGGCCTTGAATCATACTGGTTTGGTGTGTGCAGGGGCTGCTGGAGGAGACTGAATGTGACCGAGGCATTTTCAAAAATCAGTCTTGGCAAGGCTTTTTTGTTTGAGTCATATAAAAACTATTTTTATGCAAATAAGAAACAATTTGTCTAATAAGGTACATCTTTAATTTATTCACAGCCTAGGCTGTCTCCTCTGTTTTTAGTGTCAGCAATCTTTTATCTGAAATAAATATTCCTGGCTATCTCTTAGGTACTTTATAAAGCATTTATAAAATGTTTCGGACTTGGTGAATTTAGTAACAGATCAAAATCTAAACATGCTGAATATTATAGAGAGTAATGTCTCAAACCATGTTTATAAAGTTCTCATCCAATCTTTCCCCTTCATACTCAACTAAAATGGGAGGCTCTTCTGTTAATCACGATGCTTGAATACAATTACCTCTTTGTTTGTCTGTCTGCTTCATGATTGCTGTTGGTTTGCATTGGGTCTTTTATAGACAAAGAAATAGACATAATCTCGCTAAATAACAAGTCAGTGCTCTCTGGAAATTTATCTGAATTTCAATCTGTCATTCTACATCTCCATTTCCAAGAGTGAACAATGCTAATACTAACATCTAAGAAAACTGCTGTCTGTCTTGAAAATTCCATTTCTTTCAAGGATTGGACATAGGTTTGTAGATGTGGGGAAAAATAGTAGCTACAGCAGTAGATAAGTTTTCCAGAAGAGTGAATGTTCATGAGAGGCTTCTGGTGTTCTCCTGGATGCAGAAGGAAATGAGTCAGGATGTCTTGCATATATGCTGTTTTGTCAAGTGAGAGAGGAAGAACTTCTCAGCAAGTGACTCTGTAATTCCAAATGGACAGAAATTCCATTATTAAATAAGTGTCCTGACAGCCTATCTGCAAATTTAAGAACTTGTCCAAACTTTTCTGTGGGTTCTGCAGAACATGTGCAATAATATGAGAAAAGTCTTAAATTCAGTGTAATGTGCAAGTGCCTTTCACAGAAAATAAACATCTTTGGAGTCCAGGTTGTTAGTGCAGACCAATCTGGTACTACTATATCCATCCTTGCATGTTTTTCAACTGACATGGACTGCTTTTCATTTCAGAAATGGAAAATCCTGAAGTGGCCGTGAGCAGCTGCAGTTCTCATGATGTTGAAAACGTTTGCAGCTACAAACGGCACCCGTCTATATCACAGGAGGGGCTTTTGGAAGACCAGCTTAGAAGGAAGTTAAAATTTTTCTTCATGAACCCATGTGAGAAATTCTGGGCCCGGGGCAGAAAGCCTTGGAAACTTGGGATTCAGTTACTCAAAATAGTAATGGTTACAGTTCAGGTGAGTACCTATGGAAGCAAGAACTCTTCTTAGCACATGCAAAGTCAAATGAGTGCAGGTGACATGCTGTGCATGTGCAGAGAAAGGGAAAGAACAGACTGCAAAACCATCTTCTTTGCATATATCTAGTTTAGATCTTAGGTGGCGTAATTTTCTTCTAAAACTGGTGACTGAAAAAAATAGCTTTCCTAAGCATGGAGATAAAACAAACCATATTTAAGGCCTCAACCAGACTTTTTACTTTACTTTTTTTTCATTCCCATTTTTCCCCCCAAACTCTTGCATTGAAAAATCTTCAGAAATTCTTCATCAGTCTTTCTCTCACCCAGTTTTCCACCACAGAGTTCATATAACACATTTATCTGCTGCCCAAAACACAGTTGTTTGTTTCAAAGTTCTCTGGTTAAGGAGGAAGAAAGTCTTTCATAAAACCTTTCTAATGCCTCAGATGATGATCTTGCAGAGTTGCCCACATGTGATTTACCTTTATGGTCGTGTCAGTCCTATGACAATACATATATAGAGAAGAATATTTTCCATGGTTGCATGAATTATGGGACAAACTGCAAAAATTAGAGGTCTTCTGCTGTACATGTGGCAGCATGTTTCTGTCCCTTATTGCTTCCATTTTAAATGTGTTATCATTCTCTGATTGTCATATCTCGCATTTTGCAACTAAAAATAAAATTTGATGATGGAAGAACCCAAATAAGAAAGAAAATAGTGCTAGTCTTTTCAGAGAAAATCTGCCTGTAGGTAATTCAATCTTAGCACTGTTGATTTGCTGATGCCAAGCACTGAGCTTGCTCACAGAAAATTTCAGTATCTCTGTAACTGTATTACCCTTATCAAAACCTACATATCCAGTTTGCATCATGGCCATAAAACTAATCTGTAGACTACTGATTCAGACTTATCTCTGATGAGTTTATTCACAATACACCTGACACCAGATTTGAAACAATAGTCAAGAGAATTGTGAGCTCCCAGAAACAATACATCATACTTCTAGAAACCTCTTCCAGCCTGGATAATAGCTAGCAGGGGGTTTTGCTAACTTTTCAGGAACAGTTGTATTACATTTTTTTACCAGCTTCAGAGGTTATCCTGTTACAAGCACAGTTTTGATCAGTTACTCTCAAAGCACTTTTCACTGAAACTTGAAGGAGAGATGTTTGTTTTCTGAATTATTCTCAAATTGCCTTTTATGTGCTGGAGTAAGGACTTTAAAGTGGGGTCTTGTTAAGTCTCCTCCTGCTTTTTTGGCTGTGGAACAACGATATTCCCCAAGGCAATTCAATTGACACCAGGCTGAACTAACAAAACAAGTGTAACAGTATATAGGGAGCTTGAATTTGAGATCGCATCCTTTTCTTCGTAAAAATGAGAGTCCTTGGCTCACAGGCTGGTAAACATATTAAAGGAGCATTCTTGAAACCCACCTTTTCCTTAAAGTCAAACTTTCTTTTGACCAGCTGTGAAATGGAGCAGCCTGCATGTAACTGCCATGTCTACCAGCATGACAAAAGTTTGTAGCACAGGATTCATACGTTAATCCAGAAGCAACTTTGTCTTTGAACAGGAAATATAAATGTCTTTTTCAGCTGGTGGTTTTTGGATTGAGCAACCAAATGGTGGTAGCCTTCAAAGAAGAGAACACTATTGCATTCAAACACCTCTTCTTGAAAGGATACATGGACAGAATGGATGATACCTATGCTGTATACACACAAACAGATGTCTATGACCAGATATTCTTTGCAATAAACCAGGTGAGGATTGAGGCTGCAATGTATATAGTATATATGCCCTTTGCCTGGCTACCTTTTCTTGAATTGAACTTCTGTGCCAGTTGCTTAAGACTAAAGCATCAACTCATTTAGGTTTTGTAGCAGTGTACTTGTGGTGACATCCTTAAAGCTCAGTATACTAATTCTGCACTAAAAGAGGTCCTTGAATCTGATCCAGAATTTGGTGCAAGGCTTTCTAGTAAGAACTATAAAGAGAAAAATATAATAAGCAAAAAGGTATTTGGATCTAAATCCTGTACTTACTGTTTTTGTCAAATACCTTAAAGTATTTGAGGACTCAGCTGTAGTGTGGTTTAGGTTTCACAGTTCCTTAGGTGATCTTTTAAATAAAAGAGACAAGTTATGACACAGATCCAAACACTTCTGGGTTTGCTTTGTTTTGTTTTGTGTTGTTTTTCTCAGAGACTAACAGTTTCAGTGCCATTTAAGTTTGTTTGTTTGTTCTGAACTTTAGTACTTACAGCTGCCCAACATCTCTGTTGGAAATCATGCTTATGAGAAGAGGGGAGCAGAGGAGACAGCTCTGGCCATTTGTCAGCAGTTCTACAAGCGAGGAATCATCTGTCCTGGAAATGACACCTTTGATATAGACCCAGAGATTGTGACTGGTGATGAATCTAATCTATTGTATCAATTCTTTGGGAGAAGGGACCCTATGTTTATGATAAATTCTTAAAAAAAAATTACAGTACTGTATAGTCTTATTACATGATCTGTATCGAACTCACTACCAGCCAAAACTGGTAAGAAAAGTACTGTGTAACCTCTAGCCCTCACCTCCGAGGTAGCAGTCTTTTCTGTCTAAAAAGCGACGAGCCATTAGCACCAATGGTCATCTAATACAAGCATTTGGGACTCATTTCAGGAGCCTTCCCTGTGAAATCATGATTAACTTGGCTGGTGTTCAGGGAAGCCAGTGTATTTGTCAGCTAGCTTCTCAAATGCCTCCTCACTCAAGCATGCTATCTTGTCTGGTATAGCCAACAGCTCATTACAGCCTCGGGCGTGGGACAGGCAGATTATGGTTAAAGAACATGATAACCCATGAGATATTGTTGTGAGTCCTTATCCATTCCAGACTGCTTGTACATTGAGCCAATGACACCGTTAGACAACACAACAGTGGGAAAGCACAATTTGAATTTCACTCTGGATTTCCACAGGTGAGGAGGAAGGAGCACTTCCTGTGTTGGGGTCTTGGTGCATTTTCCCTGTGAAAAGCTAATCTGAATCTGTTGCAGACTGGTGACCGTGCAGCTCACGTTCAATCTGAAGGCAATCAACCTCCAGACCGTTCGTCACCATGAGCTCCCTGACTGTTACGATTTCACTTTGAGGGTATGTGGAAGCCTGCCATGTGTCTTTCTGTTCAAAACAAGAAATTGCTCTTGCTGGTTTACAGTCAGCACAGATATTTTCTGAAGAGTGTTGGGCACCACTGGGTCAGTGGTCCTGAAGCACTTGCTTGGCTTACAGCCTCTTGTGTTCTAATCCATCTGAAGTATAATGAAAGCATAAATCTCTTCTCTTTAGAGAGATTATTCTGGAAAAGGTTGTTTTCAGATCATAGAGGAATGAGAATGCAGTTTAAAAGAATTTCACTTATTAGCTAATTTATCAGCCAATTTGTGGCAAATACATGGTTCATCAGATTTGTCTTTCACTTTGACAGCATTTATTTGAAGAAACTGGAATTACCTTAAGCATAAACAAGTTTTGTAACTTCTCCCCTCGGAGAATTATTCTGAATCATTATGCAAGCTTGGCTATGGGCTACAATGGGCTACATATATAATGGTTTAACTTTATAAAGACATGCACCTTTTTTGTTTGTTTTTTTTTGTTTTTGTTTTTTTTTTTTTTTTTTTAAATACAGATAGTGTTTGATAATAAAGCACATAGTGGAAGAATTAAAATAAGTCTCAACAACGACATAGCGATCAGGGAATGTAAAGACTGGCATGTTTCTGGATCAAGTAAGTGACATAAATGTGTTCAAAGTTTCATGCTGAAATTTTGCCTCACCAGCATAACGCTTGTCAACCTTCTTCTTTATTAAGAGATAAGGCACCATTGATATACAGTCTCTAATATGTGAACTGTAAATCCTGATTTTCTAAGGAATTGTTCTTCAACCTCTGATCTGAAATCCTGGGAACCCAGCCACACTATTACTTTCCTTAGCAATTCTCAAAGCTTGAACCATTGATAATGTCCAACCAAAATTTTTCCACACCTCACTGTGCATCCTTCTAGCTTTGGCTACTGAACTTATACTGCTCATTTCTTAAGGCAGGGCTGTGAACTGTTCTAGCCCCAGGCAACAGGACACATGATAGTGGTTGAAAGTTGAAACTGATTTACTCTTATTTCAGGACTTAGCACCAGTTGTTTGAGAAGCACTGTTGTTAAGGCTTGCTGGAATGAAATGGCTAAAAACACTTCTAACTGTTGTTTAAATGTCATTTGCCTTGTATTTGAAATGGCTAAATTACCTATACAGTGACTCACAAGAGTGAGCTGCCTTAGTTGGCAGCAATTCGGTCTGGTCAAAACATCATATAAGATCCTTTTCATTAGCGAAAATAATCTCTTTGATAGTCAGAAGCTTTCCAGGACTATAAACTCTGCTTATTTTTAGTTGGTTTTTTTTGAAGTAGACAATAGGATGTACCAGGTTCTTTTTTTCTACTTTTGCCGCTTTCCCCATTGCTGTGCCTATGTTAGGGAATGAAGAGCTGGAAGTGAAAAAGGAGGATTGGCGGGGTTTTTTTTTAAAGATCCAGGTTGGAATTAATTTGGGAGGCATTTACCGAAGTGCATCACGGAGCACAAAACCCACCCACGAACGCGAACTCCGCTCGATCCTGCACGGCGCGCTCGCTGCCGTGCCGGGAGTGCCCCGCAGGTGGCGATGGCGGGAGCGCTGGCTGCTCCCCCTTCCCCGAGGGTCCGCGCTCGGGGTCCGAGGTTTGCCCCTCCGACACCCTTCAAAACCCTCTCCGGGAGTACTCCCTATTATTTTCTGAAAGCCAAGGAGAAATAGCAAAGTAACGGTCGCAACTGGACAATAACGAGTTGTTGCTGTTCTGGACTATGCTGCAAAACCAACTTAAATGGCAGCAGCACAAGCAGCCAGAAGTGGGTGGGCTTTTTCTGAGTAGTGAACTTCGTGGAGACAACGACAACTTCAGCATCCCATTTTGTAGAATTGCTGCATCTTCTTGCAAATTTAGCATTGTTTGATGTTTTTCTCAAACAATCATTCTTTTACCATTAAAAATCTAATCCTTATACTGTCTCACCTAGTTTCAGCCGTATGATAGGTATAAAAAGAAAAAAAAGAGGTCTAGTGGTAGACGGTGAAAAATTTGACCTTAGATGATCACAAATGTGATTTTTTGTAACAGAAGGGATGGAGAAATGTCTAGCTTGAGGTTGATCTTGGCTAACTGAGCAGCAGTACAAATTATCTGCACTGCTCTAGGAAAAGAAACCTATCTGACAGTCAAATACCAGTCTGAAAGAGAAGATACATACTATAAAGTTCCTAGGTTTTGGGGTTGGTTATTTTGGTTTGTTTTTTTTATTTTTTGTGTGTTTTTGTTTTGTTTGTTTGTTTTAATTCTGTTACTTCAAAGGCCGTTCCAGTGCTTGTAAAATGATCAACTCTCACCTCTAATTCTGCAGGGTTGTAAGAAGGACTGACACTCTGGTATATCAACCTTCCTAAATTTACTGAAGTGGTATCTATAGTGCAGATGCACCTGTGTCTCCCATGAAAATATGTCCTATAAACTTTTGTGGGAAAAATGCTAAGCTTTTTCTTAATTCCATTGTATAAACATAGTTAACATCAAAATTTGATTCTTACTTCAATACTCAAGGCAGACAACAAAATGAAATGCATCTGACTATAAATATCTGCTTTTTTGTTCTTGCAGTACAGAAGAACACTCATTACATGATGATCTTTGATGCTTTTGTCATATTGACTTGTCTGGCCTCATTGATCCTTTGCACACGATCAGTGATTAAAGGAATTCGGCTCCAAAGGGTGGGTATAACTCCTCCCTTGGAAAGTCTTGTCTTATGTAAGTCTGATTAACTGTTTTCTTTCCTCCTTTGCCCTAGGAATTTGTAAGCTTTTTCCTATATTATTATAAGAAAGAAGTGCCTTTCAGTGATCAAATGGAATTTGTCAATGGATGGTACATCTTGATTATGGTTAGTGATGTCTTAACTATTGTTGGATCAACTCTAAAGATGGAGATACAAGCCAAGGTAAGCTTTTTACACTGTCAGGTGAAAGCAAAACTGCTTCTGTCCCACCTAGGTTTAAATCTCTCAGAAGACTTTAGGCTGGCTATACTTGATTCTGAGTGGCATGAAATTTTAGAACTCTTTCTTCTCCTCTTTGTAACTGATATGTGTTGTTTCCAGTAGCAAGATATAAAACCTCCAAATATCACTAAATATTATAGTTCTAATTATCTTTGTTCCTTGTGACTCTGAGGAATAAAATGAACTTCATATCTGAAAGTTTAAGACTGTTGACTTCCCCTCTTCTTCAGTTAAGAACTCTTATATTTGCTCATTTGATGGATTTTTTCAAATTTAGCATTTAACTTTTTGAATCCTGTTTAACAACTGTTTAACTAGCACAGAGTCTCTCTCCTTAAACATCACTTTGCTGCTTTCCCAGCTTCTAGTTTCCAGCATGTTCATAACAGTCAGCCACAGCCAGGTTCTAGGCCTTCAGTTTCTAAAATAAACTTGATATAGAAAAAAGGCAAAACTTGTAAAAGCATACTGTGTGCAGCAAGAATTAGGGAAGAAAAACTATATGCTACCCTGCAACACTCTGATATTCAGATAATGTTGTTCTTCACAAAATCTGTAGCAGGCTTTGAAGTGTGACATTGCAACATAATGAACTTTGGACAGTAGTGATGAAAGGATGGGTCTGAAATCCATCTGCTGACAGCTTGACTGTCATAAACACCGTGTACAAATTGTCCTATCTTACCTTAGGAACTGTAAACTCAGTTCTTAAGAATAGAAAGAAGCTATGAGGAAGTTGGCTAGGATAAAAGATCTTGCTTTGGGAGAAGCAAAGAAGAGAACAAGATTGGAAAAATGTCTGGCATTTGGGATTCTGATCTTATATTTGAAATACATCTGTTTGTGTATGTTTCTTTTCTAAGAGAGTATTTTACTAAAACTCTTCTCTACAGATACATTTCACTTCATTTTGCAAACCTTGTGGACCACAATAACAAGATCTTGTTCCATGTAACTGTATGAAAGTGGATGAATAACAAGTTCACATTAAAGTAGCCAAGTTCTAAATAAATTATGTTAATAGAAAAGATTAGCCAATATCTATTGCCAATATCTGTCTATAATATCTATTATCTATATTTTATTCTTAGGAGAATAAAAGCTGAAAATAATAAAAACTTCTTATTCAAGTAAGCTGTCATGATCTGTTTCAGAGCAGAGCTGCAGTTCAGGGACAGGATATATGCTAACTTGGATGAAAACAGGCCAGTATGTATAGGTGGAAAAAACAGTGAAGTGCCAATAAAATATAAATGAAGTTCTGGTTAGAATTAATTAGGAGCTAATTAGTCTTCTCTTTAGTAGCTTTCTACACCTCATAGTTCCCAGTTACTTAACAAGATCCTCCTTGGTATTCATCTGAGCAATGCTGACAAGTCATGCTACGTTTTACAAACAGCTTTTCCTATGTACTGGAAGAACCTTCTTTGCTCTGTGGTTCTAAATTCACATCTATGCTGTCCATTGGGATGCAGTGGAGAGATTTCTAAGCTGCTCTGGGAAATCTGTGGATGCAGATTCTAGGAGCAGTTGCTGCAGGCCCAGAAGCAGCATAAAAATGTTTGCAGTGCCACTCTACAGATCTTGGTGGGCCAGGTACAGAGGGGGTGTCTCTGCACCTGCAGTGCACCTGTGCTCTTGGCCTTGCAAATGAAGCCCATCTTGTCAGTCTGTTTTACAAACAGCCCTATGTAAAGGCATGTGAAATGAGTTACACTTGAAAGGGCCCTTGTTCCTCGGTGAAACCTCTCTCCAATGCATACTGCCTCCAACTAATTTCCAATGGGAGAGTCTGCCAAGGAAAAAGTGTTTCTTAACAAATCTTTGTAGTAATGAGTCACAATTTAGAACCTGTCTTTATAATAATGAATTTTTTTCTTTCTTATTTTTTTCTTTGTTCTCTTGGTGTTTTTAGAGTCTGACAAGTTATGATGTCTGTAGCATACTCCTAGGAACATCCACTATGCTTGTATGGCTTGGAGTCATTCGCTACCTAGGTTTCTTTCAGAAGTATAATGTAAGGATCTCCTGGGATCTTCGTACTGTTGGTATTTATTCTGTTTGTTGCTATAAGGGGACTGGAAGAAGTGTCTGGTTAAATTCTTACTGTTTGTATTGCTTTGTGCAGCTTCTCATCCTAACCCTGCGAGCGGCACTACCCAATGTAATGAGGTTCTGCTGTTGTGCTGCTATGATCTACCTGGGCTATTGTTTCTGTGGATGGATTGTACTGGGACCATACCATGTGAAGGTAATGTACTTACACGAAAAAAAGACAACTTGAATAACAGAATGAGAGGTTACTACTGTTGTTTTCTAAGTTTCCATGTCAAGACTTCCCTTAATATAAAAATAGTGCGTCTTCTACATGATGCTGCTGTGTTTGAGGAGTCTGACTTCCACGAGTCAATCAGGCTTTCCCTGAGTTATGAAAGCTCTGAGTCAGAAGTGGAAGCTGCCATGACTCCCAATCATATGCTGATATTTTGAGAAATAATTTTCATTTTACAGAACACTCCTGTCAGACTAAAACTTTGGAAACATTATGCTTATCCCTTTTAAATAAGAATTTGGCTTATCTGAATTGAATGTGTATATGTATAGGAGGTTACAAACTTTACTCATTCATCAAATGTTTTACTGTTTGCACTTTGTCATACCCTGGGTGTAGGGAGAGATCCAAGGCAGCCAGTTACCAGCTGTGTATCTTCATGTTATGTAGAGTCTTTGTATCCAAATAAAGCAGTGACAGATATTCTTATCTTCTTCTCTCCTCTCTAGTTTCGCTCTCTGAACACAGTTTCTGAATGCCTTTTCTCATTGATCAATGGAGATGACATGTTTGCCACCTTTGCAAAAATGCAGCAGAAAAGTTACTTGGTTTGGTTATTCAGCAGGATCTATCTCTACTCCTTCATCAGTCTGTTCATCCATATGGTGCTGAGTCTCTTCATTGCACTCATTACAGATACGTATGAAACAGTCAAGGTAAGCATAGACTATTCATTTGGAGTAACAGTGCAAAATTGGTGCTATCAAGACTCATATCCCTCAATATTTTAAATTGCAGTGCATGCCAATCTAAAGAATAAACATAATGACTACTTTTGAGGGTGTAGAGAGATGACAGGAGGGTTTTTAATCCCTCTCTACTTCATCTTTCTTACAAAGTCTGTCTGTTTTCCTGCTCCAATGAAAGCTAAATATCTACTGAAAAGCAGTATTTTCACATTAGGTTCCATGAATCTTCTAATTTCAGACTTGAGCAATGTCTGAAAAGTGGTCTGGGGAGAATTCCAGTTATTGTACATTTTAGCCTTTTTAAAGGTTTAACTAAATATCAATTTTTAGCACTACCAGCAAGATGGCTTTCCAGAGACAGAACTTCAAAGATTTATATCACAGTGCAAAGACTTACCGAACTCTGGCAGGTACAGGTTAGAGGAGGAGAGTTCTGCATCTCTCTTCTGTTGTTGTAATGGTAAGTATCTATATTAAAATTATACATTAAGTTATATGCAAAAGTGACACACTGCTAAATGTCCCTGCTGTAAAGTTTATGAAGAGTCCTTCAATTTTGGGGGTGGAGGGGAAAAAAAACCAGAACACAAAAATCCCAGACTATTTCTCATGCTCTAGAATGGAGCTTCAGCAAAATGTCAGCAGCCAACAAATTCCTTAGAAGAGGTGAGGGAACTTTCAAATTAAGAATCACTTAACATGTGAAAAATGGTACAGAAAGTTAGACAATATATACAGTAGCTCGGGAAGCCCATATGTGTAATGTGCCAGCATTAACAGTTCTTGTACTCACTGCAACAGGCAGGACCTACAGAACACATTCAGTGTTTTCTTATCCACTTTTTAATGACACCTTGTGCAGTAAGGTCTCCTAACTTAAATGGTAACAGGCCTGAAACTTGGGGACAAAATCAGCTTGTAAAAGTTTTAAGACAGCATGCACTTGGAAAACATTGTCTAACTTTCACTATGGAGAACAAATGCTTCAGTTATTTAAAGTTTTATTTCTTCAGGAATACTGATTGCAGGATATGTGGTTTATATTTAACCATGCAGGCAGCAGCTCTGAGTCTTGCTTGCTGAAGGGCTTTTAGTGGGGGAGCTGAAAAATATTTGCCACTTGATTAAGAAGATCAAAGGTGTTTTCAATTCCTTGGTATTGGGCTTTTCTGGTGGACTATATTGTTATGTGCCAGATAGAATATATTTATGAGGGGGAGGAGATGGGGACATATCTTGGAGCAGGGAGATGACAGAGCCTGCTGTGAGCCAACCCCTGTTCTGACCCAGTGCCTTACTGGAGATAAAAGTGTGGGATGAAGCAGAGCAGGGTATCTTGCTCCTGGGTAAAGGGCATGGACATGTTAATATTTCCTTTTCTGCACACACCTCTCAGTTTAACAGGCAAGAAAGCCAATAGGAGGCAGGACAGGGTGGGGATGTAATAATTTTCCCACTGACTGTGCAGTGGGGATCAGGCATCTAAAAGAGCATTCTCATGTTCAAAATGTTTTATAGTGGTTCATAGCAGTTTCTTATTGATGTATGTCAAATTTCTAATTAAATAGTTCAGTTGCATTTTTAAGGCTCCTTGCACAATGAGGCTATTATTTTGATACTTTCCTCCCCTCTCTTGTACAGGTTGTAATGAACATATTTAATGGATTGTGGGAGTGTATCATGGAGGCTTTAAAGTAGCACACATTGGAAGAACTGGACGACAGATCTTCTGGAAAACCTTATATCTAAAGCTTGAATTTGCTTTTCTTGAGAAACAGTGTAAGCCTGTGCCAGAAGCTTATGCTAAACTTACAGACTTTTTGATTAGACACTCACTGCTAATTCAGGGGGTTTGGGTGTTTGTTTATGTTAGCTTTATTCTATTTGTTTTCTCGGTTAAATTGTGCTAGAATGCAAAGGGCACCAAAAAGCTGTCTGTGTTCAGAGTCTTGGCTAGGTTATAAGAGTAGACCAGAAATGTAGTAACTTTCAACTATAATTAGAACTAGTGTTGGACAACTGCAGCTTTGAACACCAACCTAACCCTCAGTACTGCTGCCATTATCTGTCCATGGTTGACCTGTTACAGAATGAATGAAAGCTCACTCTAGAGTTCTCGGAATTTTTTGTTTATTTGCACTCATAGTAAAAATAAAAACTATGAAATTTGGTGTAATTTTTTTCTGGAGTCATTACAGTGAGTTGATACACAAACCATTCAAATATAGCTGAAAGCATACAATAAATATTTCCTTAAACAGAAGTACCACCTGATGTGAGTGGCAGTCTCTTCTCAGAGAGGCCAGGATATGCCAGGCTGAACCAGAGCTTGAGGGGTGAGTAGTGTGGAGAACTGTAGATATTCTGTATCCAGCACTCGGTAGGATCAGTGACAGCCTTCAACTTTATAGTGTGTGGACATTTCAAAATATCTATTTTGTTACTTTGAAATCTTCCTCTGGTTTACAAGTCTGTGGTAAAGTCTCCGGTTTACACGTTTGTAAACCTGAAGTGTAAACTAAGTTAAATACACAGAAGATATGTCTCTGAGGGTCATATTCCTCCACACTTTAGAACTTGGATGTTTCCTATCAACAACCTGCTACTGTCAATGGCCGGCTGAAACATTAACTCTTATAAAAGTTCGGTTTTGACAACTTAGTTTATATACTTTGTGATAATATTTAATTGATGGCTTATTTTCTATAGTCTATTCACTCTAGGAGCAGAACAGAAAACCGAAGGGAAACATATTTTTGATAACTTGCATTTGTGAGCAACATTGCTGGAGCTGTATGTGACAATGTATAATGTTGTGGAGGACACTGAACACGTTCTGTCTGAATGCTTACACATTGTAAATGTGCTACAATAAACACTTCCAGCTGCAGTAAGTATTGGATGTGTCAGTATTCATCTTAAGAGTAAATATGTTGCTAGGTTATAGGAGCTTTGTTTATTAATAACACTATACAATTTCTGGCATGAAACAGTGTGTGGAGTGTGTGGACTTGGATTTCCTGTAGTCAAGACAGTCCCTGTGGACTCTGGTGAGGACCTGTTTCCAGCTGATCCATTTAACAGCATTTCAGAATTTGCCACAGAAACAAATATTCAAGCATTAAACCTTACACTAAAAACGCTCCTCAAGTTTAGCAAAAGCAAACCAAATACAAGGTGCAGGCAGAACAGATCTGAACAGTATCTGAAAGTTTTGTGTATTGAGGCCCTTGCCTTTTAATGGTCACCTAAGATTGAAGACTTTTGTAGCTTTTCAAGAAGACACAAGGCAGTCTTGCCTCAAAAAGCAAATATTAAATGACCATGTTTTCTCTTGACACATTAAATTCCTTATGGATCTTTGACAACACACAAAATATAATGTGCACATCACTACTGTATAAAGTAGTTTGTGCAAGAAATTCTGACAAGGATGACAAGCACTTTCAGATAATGAAATGCAGCAGACTGATTTACAAGGCTTTTTCATGCAAAGTAAAGAGAAACATAAGATTAATAAATCACTTAAAATGCAGGTGCCTTTTGTAAGCAGCTGTGGAAAACAGTTATGGGCAGGGGCAGAGTGAAGCCAGAGGGGAGGGCTGTCTAAAAGTAGGCGAAGGATGTGTAAAACAAAGGAAAAGAGGTGACAACCACTTACAAAGTTAGCAGAGCAGCAATTGCACATTTCTGGCTATGGGTGCAGGCTGATACACTGGGAAAGAAGAGCAGTAGCCTGGGAGGTTACTGGATTACAACTGCTCAAAATGTCCACTTCTGACTGGAAAAAAAAATGCTGCTTGTATTACATATCTGATACGTATTTATATTTTGAGTTTTTTTAAAGAAAAAAACATACACTCAAACATCTGTTGTTTGCCTTGGTGCTACTGCTGGCAATCTAGGTGCTTATGTCCAGATTTCTGATCTGCTTGATCCTTGGTGTTTAGGATCTTCATCTGCCTGAGTATTTTGTTTGCCTGAGAAGAAGCCAGTCAATGCTGTGTTTTCTAGCCCACTAGCTGCATTTGAGACTAAGTGCAGCAGGCTGCTGCTGTTGCATGTGTGGTGAGGCTTTTTTATCTTATTTTTTGTCAATATATTATGGCTTTGCAGAGCCAAGACGTGTGACAATGATCTTATTATAAAAAACCCGTTGTGACTTCAAGCAGTATCAGTGATCTCAACATTAGCAATGCCAGTAGCACATGTAAAGCTGCATCCTGGAGACATCGGTATCTTTATTCTGATGCAATCAAGCAGACACAGATAGAACTGTAAAATGCAGTGGGGGAGAGCAAGGAAGCAGATAAAGCATCAGATAAACTCATGCTTAAAAATGCCACCCTAAGCAAAACAGGCTTTCAGCCCTGACCAAGAAGTTGTGGACGGGTAAGAGAGCTTCTTTGTTCTGATTCTCACTGGGATCTGGAAAGAGTTGTCTGAAAAATACAGATATTTAGTACTTCCTCGTGAAAAGAAGTTGCAGGGTGCTAAACTGGGTAACAGCTGTTTTCATACCAAGGCTTATTTCAATGCCAATGTTTTGCATATACTTATAGGAAGAACTTCTTGTTTTTAGCAGAGCCCAGATCTATTTACAGAATGAAACTATACTGAGAGGAAGAGAGAGGTGGGGGCCTTACTTGTTTCTAAGTGCCAGTTTTTATGTTGGATTTAAGCACATTCTCAAGGGAAGGTAAACAGTGTGCACATAAAAGAGGAAGAAATCAAATTCAGATATGCTAATACCTATCCAGTATTAAAATATGTAAAGGCATAATTTATCGAGGGGATGTGGGATAGTGACAGAGACAGAATGCAGGACAGCACAGAGATGCTGCTGTAAAAGACCAAACCTGTGGCTGCATCTATCGGGAGCATTTTCCTGCCTGAGACAGTACCTAATACCAGATGCTTCAGAGGAAGCCTTCAGAAAACTTTCATGCATGAGCTGACACAATGCTCTTGCAGCTAATGTTGAGTAACTCCACATAGATGTTTGTCTGGGGTTTTGTTCCTTCTTCTCTCAAACTGTGTGACCATAACCAAACACAGCATCATCTGAGAACATTATGTAAGAATCCTACACTGCCCATGCCCACCGTGTGGGCAGGTAGAGAGCTCAGTTGCTGCAATGAAGCCTCTCGTGAGTCTGCAATCTCTTTTGAACACCCTAGTTTGGAGTAACTGCATTAGGCCACGTCCTCTGAGGAACCAAGTACCTCTTGAGCTGCAAGACGACCCACTCTGTAGTAGCTAATCTCACCTGACAGTCTTCCCTGCACGTTATCTCCGTGCCTACAACTACCAGCTGGTAGTAAGGCGACTACAGAGCTCTTGGTCTCCTAGCAAGAGCCCGCGCACCGGAGGGCGGCGGTGGGGCAGGGGGAGCCGGGGCCGCAGGGCACGTGGGCGGCGGGCGCCCTCCTCCGCCGGGCCCATAAAGGCGGCGCGGCCCGTGGGGCAGCGAGTGGGGTTTGCCGGTGGGACGGAGCTGCGCGGCCCCGGCTCTCCCCGGCCGCCCCCGCGGACTGCCGGAGCCCTGCCCTGCCCGGGCAGCGGCCGAGCCCCGCGGCCCCATGGAGATCTCGCTCAAGTACCTGCCCGGCGGGCGGGCGGCCGCCACCGGGTGAGCGGAGCGGGACGGGACGGGGCGGGCGCGGCGCTGTCCCTTCGGGTCACCCCGCCCGGCGGGAGCGGGGTCAGGGCGCTCCTTCGCCAGCGGCTGCGGGAGGGAGGGAGGGCAGCGCCCCGGGGCGGGGGCCCGGCCCATCCCGCCGGCGGGGACCGCGATAGCGGGCGTGCCCCCTGCCCCGGGGCGGCCGCTGCGGAGGGGCCGGGGGCAGCGGGCGGAGGTGGTGCTCCAAACTCTTCTTTGGGTTTCCTGCACAAGGTAGGTCCTGTCCTCCCGCCAGGGAGGCCGGCGAGCAGAGGTGAGGCTCGGCCGGTGCACGGAGCGGCCCGTGTGTTCCCCCGGTCCGGCTGCGCGGGGGCTGCGGCGGCTCCTCCAGCGGCAGCCGAGCGCTGGGTGACCTTGGCAGCTCTGCACAGGGGGGCTTTCCCCTCAGTTTCCGAGTTCGCTTTCCTGAGAAGCGCGAGGCGATGTCCTCCTTTAGGCGAATGCTGAGCTTAGTAGAGATCGTGAAGGTGAAGCCCAGGCTGATACGTAGAACGCAATTCGGTGATATTCCCCCCCCCCCCATTTTTCTCTATTTCTTCCCCCCTTAACTCCTCATCAATCTCGTTAATACCTCTTCAAGATCTAGAGCTCAGATAGATAAATGTTTCTAATCTGGAGCTGTGATGGACACTGTTAGTGTTGCTGTAGTAGTGAGTTACTCGATAAAAAAAACTGTGCTCACTTACTAAGTGTATTTTAGCTACTTGATGCAATGAGGCTTTTTCTGCTAGGTGAAGAGCTAAGTATTAAAAACGTATTTCATGAGCAGGTAGCTGCAAATTGTAGTCCTTACTGTTGAAACCTCTTCCTTAAGCAGAATGCGGAGCCCTAAAGTGTCTCGCTACAAAACGTTGTCTGAACAGACTGACTTACCAGCCACAGCATTGCAGTGGTGGTTAAAGTAATGCAGCTGTTAGAATTGAGTTAGTAGCAGTTACTATATGTGACACATGACACCTGGATATGCATCTAAGCATGCAGAGTAGAGTTAGTCTTCATTCAAAAAAAATTCACCTCTGTCAATGTTTTACAAAGCATACTATGGAAACCTGTTGAGAGGTGTTAATTACATTGAATTGTGCATCTAAATTGAATTGTTTAATTCACTGTTTTGAGTGCTTTATTTGGATTATTTTTAGATTATCAGCCTAATAACCATTTGGTAGAACTAGATAGTTTGTTTTAAATGTGATGTCACTGTTAATCTCTTGGAGCTTTTAAACTTCTTTAATGCTTTGGTTCTAGTTCTGCAGATTTAATACAGTCTATTTAGATATAATTTTGAATATATCCTAGAAATGAATGGATTGAAAAACAATTGCTGTATTTGATCTGTTGCCAGTGAATTATTTTTTAAATACTGCACCACAGAACACTTCTTCTATACTGGAAGACAAAGTCCAACAGTTTTTTATTTGCTTGCACTCTTTTTAGAGATCTGTCACTTTTGATATACTTTTACTGGAAGCTTGGGAAGGATTTTGCTGAAGTCTTGGAGTGGTCCTTATGTCATACCCTCCTGCTTTAAATCTCAACCAGATCCAGCTTTTCTCTTTCTTTCCCACCTACTCCTATGACTTTCACTCTGGGTTAGCTCTCGTTCATTGTGTACCCACACAAAAGTTTCTGCCTGTTCAAGAGAAGCTTGTACAGGAGGAGCGATGTCTTTGGGTGTCAGTGCAGGATTGAAGTTCGTATGTACCTGTTTCCTTAGACAGTGCTTAGAGCAGTAATTATTGTGTGCGTTTCTGTCAGGTGTGTTTACATTTTTCAAAGTTTTTGTATCTTAAACTTTATTTAAGCTAGTCCAGTATGTTTTTAGTATAAATTTAAATAGGGATGCAGTTCACAGTTTCTTTTTCTTAAAAACTTCCCATGCTTTTCCTACCTCAAAAACCAAAATCGTCTTACCTCCCATCACCTTCATGAACGATTGATTTAAGGCTGTGTAATAAGGACGACTTTTGAACTTTAATGTTAAAATAGATTTTTTTGTTTTTTCGCTTCCTCTTCTGAGGAAACACCACAGTGTCAACTTTACTGTGTTTTCTTAACTTAAATTTCTCTTCTTGGGGGACAGCTGGTTCTAGCAAATCAGATGTGCTTTGTGGTCTACAGTTTTGGCTTAAATAACTGTACACTTCAGACAGATGAGGACACAGAAAGTAAAAATGCATCTGAAAACTTTTGGGTTTAACCCTGAGAGAAAATGTTATCCTTTATAAAATTCAGAACATCGGGAATGATGTTCTGAATAATAAATGGGACTGATAATCAGTCAGTGTCAAATATAAACCTCTTAACACATAAAGGGAGGAAAAAAATTACAAGTTTCTGATCTGTGTGTGAAACAGGAAAGTTCTGAAAATTACGGTATTGGAAGATAGGGTTAAAATGATTAGGAGAAGGGGAAAGTTTTCAATGTCCCTTTCAGCTGAGAAGGAGAAACATAAGGTGATTTAAGACATCTACAACAACAGTCCTCTGTGCTTGGTCCTCTGATTTTTACATGCCCAGATATTTAAATAAATAAATGGCTATGAATTTAGCCCTGAAAACTGCATGTTAATAACAGAAATGTGTGCAAAGCCTGCTCTGGTTATGATGCTTTTTTCTGCATGTAGAATGTGGGTTCCCAAATCTTCGTTTGCGAAGCCTAGCCATGATGATGAGAATGTGGATTATTCAGACAGATGTGTTAACATATTTGAAACAGACTACATATTTGTTTCAAATATGTATTTTTAAGAAAGAGAAATGTCGACTTTATATTGCTATTACAGATACTCTTATTTATGCCTGTTTCTTGATAGTTAGTCTAAATGCTGTTCTGATGATCTAATGTGGTTGAATGATTTCTAATTATGTCATCATAGGGAAATATTTTTTGCATTTTGCTGTAAAACAAACGGAAAACTATTTCAGACCTTTTATGTCATGTGGTGATCTGAGGTGAAACTGCATTGAGGAAATTGTCTGTCAAAGCATTCTGTTGTTTTCTAATTAATATGTTTTTTATGGCAGAAATATGATGACTCAGTCAGATTTAGATCTGAAAGAGACGGCTTTGAAAGAGGATTTGAAGTTTTACTTCATGAACCCGTGTGAAAAATACAGAGCAAGACGTCAAATACCATGGAAACTGGCTTTGCAGGTTTTGAAGATACTTATGGTTACTACACAGGTAATGCTTTGGTTTTGCTCTTAATAAGAGTAGCAATGATGTGCAAGAGAAGTAGGTATGTGGTTCTGGGCCTTTGCCATCCCTGGATATTTGTTACTGACTTGAACCTCCCACTTAAATCCATAAAGAAAAAATACTATGAAAGGTTTTTCAAGGGGGAAGAATAAAATAGGTTACAAAAGCCTCCTGGAGATTTTGGAGTGGTGTTTAACCAGGTACTTTGCTTTTTTGGCATAATACTTTAAAGCAAATTACCCTTCCCATTAAATCCAGCACTGTCTTCAGGCTTGTTGTCATGTTTGTAGGTTATAGTTTCACTGGACTATTTCAAAAGTGATATTTTCTGATATCTAGTCAGAAACTTGAAACGTACACGTTCAGTGTGGAAATGCTATGGTCTGTGGTGATGATGAGATGACTGGGCTACAGGAATTGGATGTGTCCCATACTTCTGTCATCAAATAATGCATTTGAACAGTTGAGTACTGCTTGAGGTACTAGGTAGAGGCAAAGAAGAGGGTGTTTTTCAGCTGTGCTGGTATCACGGTGTAGTTGGTTGTTCTACAGTCCACTAATAAATAGTGACTGGATGTGAAGAGAAGCAAAATGGGACACACATATAAGTAGAAATTACTTTTTTTTTCTCTTGTCAGCTTGTTTTTTTTGGTTTGAGTAACCAATTGGTGGTCTCATTCAAAGAAGAAAACATTGTCGCTTTCAAACACCTGTTCCTGAAAGGCTATTCTGGAGTTGATGAAGATGACTACAGCTGCAGTATATATACACAACAGGATGCTTATGATAGCATTTTTTATGTTATTAATCAGGTAAGTGTGTGTGTTTATAACTATGTTATAGCTGAAAGTATAGCTATAAACTTCTGCTAAGGTTCTGGTTTTCTGTTTCCATTCTTGGATTTCAGTTTTGATATTTCAGTGAATCAGTGTAGATCTGGTGTCCTGAAATTCGTGTGCAATTATCTGCATTTTTGTCTCTGGAAGATGAATTCAAACCAGAATTTTATTTGGGTAGTGCATAATACCAAAATCCAGAAAGTTTGAAAATCTGTCATCTTGCATGAACTAAAACCTTGGTTTAGGTCTTACTTTGAAGACCTATAGGCCTGAATATACCTATGCATGGTATTCAAAAAATTTGTGCTTACAGTTATACTGAATTGCAGCTTTGTAGTGAGCACCAGGGGCCTCAGAATGGGGAATACAGTACTTCCAGGAGTGTAGGGGCACTTGCCTTGGTTAGGGATGGTATTTTAAAGAACAGTCCCTTTACAATTTTCAGAGGAAAGTGAACAAATCTAAGATGAAAATTCAGTAAACATTTTTGTATTTAATATTAATACCTTCAGAAGTTATAACATGAAAGACTACCTGTGGAATATGAAACGTCTCTTGTGTTTGGGGATCATGATAAGCCCAGAAATGATTAACCCTGGATGAATGGAAAGTGGCTTTAAACTTCCTTTCATTTTCACTGGCCTTGGTACATCAGCTCTTATGCTTGGATTAAAGCAGTCACTGCTGCCACTGTCAGCTATGCCCAGAAGCATCTGGGATTTGCAGGGGAGCAAAGGGCTGTGCCTCATTCTTAAACACCCACTCATGTCAGGCCCCTGTGCTCTCTGTGCTACAGCAGAGCCATCAGCAGATCAAATGTGCTGTCCCTGCTGTGCTGGACTCTCACTCCTGGCATGTTAAATGAGTGGTGAAGTAGTTTTCTCAGTCTTCCTTTGAACTCTCAACGTTACCACTGTTTCTGCAATAAACTGTGCTTTTTTTACTTCCTTGCTTGCTTTGTCTCACTCTCCTTCTTTTGTAGGCACTAAGGCTGAGGTGAAGTCCAAATACAAGACAGTAGAGAAATAATAGCTTTATATCCTCAAGAATGAGCCAGTGTGTGATACAGGCATCACAAAAAGGTCTCTTCATAAGATGTCAATGTGGTATAAATGTAGTCATATCCTTTAAGGAGATTTAACCTGTGAAATCTGTGTGCTTTAGTGTCATATGGAATTGTGAGGCTTTTATATTACATGTAAGAATTCAAAAAGCATGCCTATAGGTGAATTTTATGACTATTGTTACTTTCGTTTGTTTGTTTTTAAAGAGTGCCTTCTGGGAAGAGCCAAATCAGATGACTCCCAACCTAAAAGCAAGGGGTTTTTTATTTTGAGATGGGCAGCTAGAAGCCATGGATTTTGGTGCTTTGTTTTGAGTTTTAATTTGAAATGCATGATTGGGTGGGTAAAGCAGAAGAATATGCTATTACAGAAGGTAGTAACAGTGCACAGCTACAAACAACAACAAACCAACAACATAAAAACCCAAACATACTTTTACACTTGGAAGAGTACACAGGTTTTCCTTGCTTCTCTATTGGGTTCAGTCTGGAAGATTCTATTATGAAGAAACTGTGAAAAGTTGTTACTCTTGTACCCTGCCCTGTGGCAGAGGCTGTAGGACCAGGATGTCCTGCTGCCTGCTCTGTCTGGGGCTGCTTAGAGATGTATAAACAGGAATCTTGCTTTTAGTTTTTCACAATGTTTTTTGAAAGTGGCGTGTGGGTAACCCAGTGCCACGTGCTGTGCTGTTGGGAGGGCAGAGCCTCAGAGCACACGTGGACAGAGCAGTGGCTGCTGCATGCAGTGATCTGGAGATGTCTTCAGAGGGGTGAAGAGCTGTGACTAACTACTGTTTCCACTCACTTGACCTGCCTTAGTCAGACTGACAGGGTACAGAGGCCATGCTTTTTCTCCTGGGCTGTGTAAACTTGTTGCAAGCTCAGCTGTGAGTACTCGAAGCAGCACTGCAAGGCAGAGCTTGGGATAGAAGTGTGGTAGTTTCTGTTGCAGTTCTTTTTGGACATGGAGCATGTGGCTGTTGATGACTGGTGGGATTCTGTACCCCACAAGATGGGCTAGTGGCCATAATGCCCATAGGAAGGGGGGAATAGGATGACAGTGAATGATGCATAATAAAAAAATTCATGTTGAAGGGGGAAATGGACTTATCTGTATCAAAGCCAGCTGAACAATTTTTTATTTTTTTTTTTAAGGAATAGGAAACCTTGCCTAACTTACTTCAGGCCTCTGAAAAGCTAAATGCTTTCTTGAGAGCAGACCAGTGCTCTATACTGCCCTGAGCTCTTTCACTATGTGTGGTAATGATAAAAACTAATCAACTATTGTGTTGATGTCTTCTTCCTCAAAAGACCATGGGTCTATCTGGTTTCTCTTGGACAATGTTAGCTGATGGGAAGCTGAGCTGGCAGGCAGCTCACTGCATGGTTAGTCATTGATCTTCTCAGCTGTTGAGGAGCCAAGGGCCACCAGAAGAGCTGTGCTCCTGGGGTTTGCCTCATTTGTGCAGGACTGGAAGGTGTGAGTCCAGGGATCAGAGGGTAGACGGTAGACAACCAGAATGTGTGGAAGGCAGTTCAAGAGAGGACTGGCCTTAAATGAAGTCTTGTTGATGCTCAGGGCTGATCCATGTTTGGACAATGCTTGCTTTGGCATAGCTTTATTTGCTTTCACTTTTAGTCCTTGTTTTCCAAGTGTACGAAGAAGGTGACTTGTGCTGTATTTGGAGTAAGTGGAAAAAGTAAGTACCTTCCTCACAGGCATATTTTCAGCTGCTTCTATGCTTGTGTAAAGCAGGGAGGTTAAATTATGTTTGGAGGCTGCTCGAGCTCTGTGTATGTTCCTTGGTTGCTGGTTATATAGCCAGTGCATGACTTCCCTCTTCTGTAGTCACACAGGGAGCAGCTTTGGTTTTGTTCTCGGCATGGGTTTGATAAGAACTGTGACTTGGATTGTATGTAAAGTGATCAAGTTTCAAGTGGTGTGAAAACTATCGCTTTCATGAAAGCATAAGATATCCCTGGAGTGTGTGTGGTTAGCAGCAATACTGCATTGAAGTCTCTGCTAGGCATCTAATTAAAAGCTGTCTGCTGGCTTGCTGTCTGGCACATCTGTGATCATTTGCAGGCAGCCCAGAAGGTACAGGGCTCATGGTCACTGTGTCACCAGGATCCCTATCACTACTAATTAGTGGCCAGTAGCCCTCTAGTCTGTAAACTGAGTCATAGGACTTCCATCTCATGGGAAACTGTTATATGAAAATAAAGATTTTTTTTCTTTTTAATGTAAAAACCTGTATTGAACTTTGAGGTTGCAATTTACTATATAATGCAAAAAAGATGACTATCTCTAACTTCCACTAATGCTTTTGTTTCTAAACTAGTACAGGCATTTAAAGAACATATCCCTGGGGATGCTTGGTTATGAAGGATCAGGTTTAAAAATCTGTAAACAACAGTACAAGAGAGGCACAATGCTTCCGTCCAATGATACGCTGAACATAGATGTTTCTACTGAAACAGGTACAATACTGTTGTACTTAAAAAATGTCTTGCTGTGGAGTACTTATATTCTAATGCTATATCAGTAAAACTTAAAAGCAATAGCTTTTTGTGTGGCAGTTACAGGAAAATTCCCATGCCTCTTGCCTATTTCCCTCTTGGTTTTTAGTACCTATCTAGAAATGGCAGCTGTGCAGATTATAAAAGGCTCTCTTCAGCCACTGTCATTGGTTTGTAGAGGTCTTTAGGGTTGGTGATGGGGGGGGTGTTTTTTTTGGTGTGTGTTGGGGTTTTTTTAGGTTGGTGGGTTTTTTTGTTGGTTTTTTTTTTTTTTTAAACACAGCTCCCCCCACTCTGTGCAGAAGGTTCAAATACAGAATTCTGGGTGCTGCTCAGTCTGTACCATCAGTGGGTGTGTGTCCTTACTGCCTCTCAGAGCTGAGTCCTGACTGCTTAGCTGCTCAAGAGTTAATACACAAACCTGCTTCTGACCCCACTAGGTGGACCTCT